GACACCATGTTCTAGTCTGCGAACTATTTGTAGACTTAAATAAAAGCAACAATAACCATTTAATAGTTTAATGTATGGCACACATCTTTACACTCGCCAAAGCTAACTCATTACAATTAATCATAGTTTGGTATTTCACCTTTGACTTATAAACTGTTAAACACTCAACGCCCAAGGCCAAGGCACATCACTGGCATTGCATGTTACATAAGTTGACAAATCAGTTCGATAGAAAGCTAGAACAGGGGGTGAAGTTAAACTAGTTTTCAAAGTACTCAAAGCCTTGTCTTGAATTTGAGTCCATTCCCATGATTGATTAGCACGCAACGAGTTTACGAATTGGCTCTGTTACACCGGCGAAATTGGGAACAAAATGGGAATAATGATTAAAGAATCCTAGGATACTCTGGATTTCTTTGACATTTGTTGGAGGTAGAATATCTTGGACAGAGTCAATGTTTTCTGTAAGCATGTGAACTCCTTTAGATGAAATATTAAATCCTAGTTAGGTTAACTTCTTAAACTTTGAAGAAACATTTATTTGGACTGAAAGTTGGGCCATTTTTATGAAGACGTGTTATCACCTCTCTGATTCTTTTATCATGGACTTTTTCCGTCTCAGCAACTATCAGAATATAATCTAACAGATTAAATACTCCACGACAACCTGAAAGAATCTTGTACAATTTTTCGTACAATCAGGGGCCATAATACAGGAATTTATGATCCGATATGCACGAATATCGAAAGGAACCGAAATCTTTGGGTTATAAACTTTTATTTCAAGTTTTCAACAAAATCGGATAAAAATTGTGACCTCTAGAGGGTCCACAACCTTGATATACCATATTTTTACGCTATTTGAGAACGAGAGACGGCCATTTTTGGTGTATAAAAACAATATTAACACCATAATCTGTCAAGAATCAATAATCAATACATCTTGGAGTATATAATATAGAAATGTTTAACGACAAACATGAATGGTTATTTGTAAATCACCTCATCCTCCTTACAAAATATTACATCTATGAATGTAAAATTAAAAATAAATTCCCAAATAAAGATCAGCACCTCAACTTTATGAGAACTGTGTCAAAGACAGAGTTGGATTTGTTGTTGGCAACAAGACAATCGTAGACAAATGGAAATATGAAATTTAATAAAAAAGGACAACTCAAAGCACCCCCCCCCCTCCGAACAAAGTACAGCACATGTATACTGTGATCTGCATTTATACATAAAGAAGAATATACTGTGTAATTGGGTCATTTTTAAAAAAAAAAAGAGGAAAATTCTGTGTAAATGATAAGCTACCTCAGTAGAGTGTATATTATATATTTAAGTATGTTATTTATTGCATTGTACTATAATTGTCTATACATGTATTTTCAGACATTTAATTTATGCATCAAGAAATGTTTTTGTATTATTATAATAAAGTTAAAGAAAGAAAAAAAAGTCATGTCAAACGGTGACGCCATGTTCTTATCCAGAGAGCATGCACAATAAATACTATCAGTGTAGCCTAGAATAACCAGACGCTTGAGGTTGCCATTTGATTGAGACTTCTGGCGTATTTCGCAGAACAGAATTGATTTGAAATTAGAGTAATAACGGAAACGGTTGAATGTAAATCAGTTTATATACATATTACCTTGTTATATACGTTACGACCCATTTGTATCAATTTTCATGTCCCAAATATTAGCGATTTAACTCCTTTAAGCTTGTTAGTGACTGTTTGTGAGCAATTCAATCAATTGATTAGCTTGGCCAATGCGCTTTTGTGGTTAGTAAATGAGAGAAAGGAAGAAAACCTGAGTATAGAAAAAGAAAACCTAAGTAAAGTGTGGTTAGCAAATGAGAGAAAGGAAGAAAATCTGAGTATAGAAATATAGAAAAAGAAAACTTGAGTAAAGTAAATAAATATAGAGCCTTACTCTAAAACATCAAGTGAACAGTGAGGCTGATGTCTCCCGCCGAAATACCAAAATAATAGATGAAACATATCAATTAATCGCACATTTCTTTTTTTCAAAATTATCGAGCAATCAAACCTCCCTACAAGATAGAATCAAGATTATCTTGTCCCAAAGCATCGACCAATGAAATTGATTAGTTCTGCTTAGCTTCAGCTCGAAATATTAATCATTGAACTCGGCCAAATCAACCAGCGGCTGCCAGGCTGGATACGCCCACATTTTGCAAGAGATGGATAGAGAACAAGCTAAAGATAAACATGATTTTCCTACAATCAGGGGTCATAATCTAGAAAGTATGGTCTGAAATGCGCAAATATCAAACAGGACTGAGATCTTTGGTATATAAAGATATATTTTAAGTTTCATCAAAATCAGATGAAAATTGTGACCTCTAGAGCAGTGATGGGATTTCAAAATTTTTCTTGTCGGTCATTTTTACCGAAAATAAAGGGGCATAATTCCCCCTTATTATTTAAGCAGGCGGTTTCAGACCACAATTAAAAATCACGTGTCAACAAAATATTCAAATTCATACGTAATAAAAAAAATAGGTGCACCTCGTTATTTTTCATATTTAATTCCCATACGGTATTCAAATTTATGTCAGTAATATTCCTACAAAATTATGTGTCGACCTGTACTTTTGTTCAAAATCACCTTTTGAGTGGTGGTTATACACTCAGTACACTATATTAATTTTGGAATTTTTAATATTATTCACCATGTCTTGATGTCCGATTGGGCATATTCCTGGTCGGACAATTTAGAACGTTTGGAAAATAGAGTCAGACATGTCCGGAATATACGGGCGAAATCACATCTCTGGTCTAGAGGGTCCACAACCTTTGTATTACATATTTTTACACAATTTGCGCACAAAGAGCGGCCATTTTGTCTGTAAGTTTCACTTCTATTTTCCCAAAATTCAAATTCAACGTTCATTATGGTGGAATGGTGATAAGTTTAAACAGTTTTTAAAATCGGATAAAAAAATTGTGACCGCTAAGAATCCACAAGCTAACCAGTGTCTGCCAGACAGAATACGCCCACATTTTCGAGAGATGGATAGAGAACAAGCTAAAAAGAAAGTGATTTTTCCTACAATCAGGGCCCATAATTCAGGAAGTTACGGTCCGAATATCCAAAGGAACCGAGATCTTTGGGTTATAAACTTACATTTCAAGTTTCAACAAAATCGGATAAAAATTGTCACCTCTAGAGGGTCCACAACCTTGATATACCATATTTTTACGCTATTTGAGAACGAGGGTCGGCCATTTTTTCTGTCAGTTTTGGGCCGATTTTCACGAAATTCGAACTCAGCCGTCCTTAGGGTGTAACGGTGATATAATAATACGTTTTTTTAAATCGGATAAATATTATGACCTCTATAGGGTCCACAAGCTAAAAACGCAATTTTTCGTACAATCAGGGGCCATTAAATTCAGGAAGTTCCGGTCCAATATGTGCGAATATCAAAAGGAACCGAGATCTTTGGTTTATAAACTTACATTTCAAGTTTCAACAAAATTGGTTAAAAATTGAGACCTCTATATGGTCCACAACCTTGATATACCATATTTTTACGCTATTTGAGAACGAACAGCGGTCATTTTGTCTGTCAGTTTTTGGTCGATTTTCATGAAATTCGAACTCAGTCGTCCTTAGGGTGTAACAGTGATATATAATACGTTTTTATAAACCGGATAAAAATTATTCAGAATATCGAAACGAACCGAGATCTTTGGGTTATATGCATACATTTCAAGTTTAAACCAAATCGGATAAAAATAGTGACCTCTACAGTGTTCACAAGCTAAAAAAAGTGATTTTCCGTACAATCAGGGGCCATAGTCCATGAAGTTACAGTCCGATACATGCCAATATCGAAAGGAACCAAGATCTTAGGGTGATAAACCTATCTTTCAAGTTTCATTGAAATTGGATAAAAACTGTGACCTGTAGATTGTTCACAAACAATTGTGGACGGACGGACAGACAGGGGCGACGACAATATACGTCCACATGAAAATGTGGGCGTATAAAAATGTGATTTTTTGAACAATCAGGTGCCATAATCCAGGAAGTTACATTTTGATATGCACGATTATCAAAAGGAACCAATTTCTTTGTGATATAAATATAAATTTAAAGTTTCATAAAAATCAGCTAAAAATTGTGCCCTCTAGATCTAGAATGCTCACAACCTTTATATGCCATATTTTTTTTACACTACTTGTGTATTAAGGGCAGCCATTTTATCCTTCAGTTTTGGTCCGATTTTCACAAAATTAGAACTCGACCATCATTAGTGTGTAACGGTGATATATTCACACCCACTTTTTTAAAATCGGATAAAAATTGTGACCTCCAGAGGGACCACAAGCTAAAAACGCGATTTTTCGTACAATCAGGGACCATAATTCAGGAAGTTATGATCTGATATGAGCGAATAGCAAATGGAACCAAGACCTTTGGGTTATAAACATGTATTTCAAATTGTGGCCTTTTTGGGTTATAAACATGCATTTCAAGTTTCATCAAAAACGGGTGAAAATTGTGACCTCTAGAATGTCCAGAAGCTAAAAATGTGAATTTTCGTACAATCAGGGGCCATAATCCATGAAGTTATAATCTGATACATGCAAATATCGAAAGGAACTGAGATCTTTGGGAGATAGCCCTAATTTCAAGTTTTGTCAAAATCGGATAAAAAATGATACCTATACAGTGTCCACAAACAAATTGTGGACGGACAGGGGCGACAGCATAATACGTCCACATGAAAATGTTGTGTTATAAAAAAGAGAGAACTGTAAAAAATGAAAGAGAAAATAGAGAAAAACTGACCTTATACATGGTGTGTGGCTCATAACTTACAGATGCACATGCAGTGGATAGATACTTTTCTTCCTTAAAGTTGATTTTATTATGCAATGTAAACCGAACATGCCCGAAGCGCATATAGTGGAATATAATATGGATTATATCATCCTTTGAAGTGTGATGTTAATAAATTTTATTAACAGAATAAATACAAACATATGAACAAAGCACAAAACTAGACAATATAGAACAATATAGAACACAGAAATATATACACTTCTGCCTTTTATTTACATTGTCCAAATTGGATACATTCATCCATTAGCAATTAGAACTGGATATAAACAGACTGAGATTTTATGTGGAAATATGGGTTGTTTAGAAAATACTGAGCACCTGGTTTTACACTGAAATTAACAAATGTATTTCAGACTGGCCAAAATATTCAAAAACTTCAAATGATATATAAAATGGATACATTGCTGGCACTATTTAAATATACTGAACTTTAAAAAGAAATATAGATACCATAAACTATCAGTAATTTTTTTTTTTATCAAAATATTTTTTTTATCATGAAATATTTTTTGGGGTATTTTCATAATTTATATACATGACAAAGAAAATGAAAATATTTACAAAATATCTTTTACTGTTTTTGCCAAGATTTATCATATAAATAATTATTAAAATAAAAACATACTCTACTCTCATTCAATGAATGCATAATCTAATATTTACATACAAACTTTCATATCACTTTCTTCACTTTAATGACATTTAATATTAATTCCATTGCATACGTCATATTTATACTAATTTATAGTCATCTATGCAATAATATTTGGTATAGTAGTATTAGTACAAATTGTCAGGATATAAAGAGTCTCTTGTGTCTAAATTTTTATATTTTTATCAGATTATTATCCCATATTCATCCAAAAGAATATGTAAAGTCTGAAATTATAATAGGACTGGCAGAAAATTTCTGTCAAACTGAAATCTTCACTGATCAGTCCTCTACTTATTTTTCAATTGTCCAAATCCCAGTTATCAACAACTACTACTTGTAAATTAAACAGGCATTATGCAAGAGCTAAATTTGCCTATTGCAGGTCTTTCTTTAGGCCTGAAATGTTATATAAATTATTAATTAGACATTAATCAATTTACCAAGACCATAATCAACTCTCAATGCCATCGGATGGCTGCGATATAAGTAGATTTAAGTATGTTTTGTGATCGATGCAGTTACCGTAAAACTGGATAATCAAGACTTTGTTTATTATCTTAACAACGGTAGTAATGACAATTGAGGCTAGACTATAATTGCATCGCAGTTATCTAGGTTTTTAACTATTATAGCGAGAACTGTCAACTCTTTATCTATTCTTACTAGTGATGTGCGGTTTTTAATTTTTCTTTCGGTTTCGGTTTTCGGTGGCAAAAAACCTTGGTTTCGGTTTTCGTTTTTTTTATTCATTTAAACACTGTATTATGAATGTACTGATTTATGGTTATTTTATAGGAATACTTGGAAGCTAGAAAAGATATCAACAAACATATTGATGTAAATTGTAAACAAAGAGTTTTTTTTACTGTTATATGACTTTAATTATGAATAGTAAAAACAAAGTTACAATAAAAAAAATCTGACAAACTTTGTCAAACACAACACTATAATAATAAATTAATATAACGACATATTACCAATAACAATAAAGTTACTGTAAAAAAAGATGCAGCAGAAATATGTTTTTTACAAAGATTACATCTACATTTTGTGTCATCTAATCTTTCCTAGTGAGCAAGCCATGGAGACATTTTACTTTTAGAGGAAGCCATCGTGCGTTATTGACAACCGGCTTAGGCTTGCATAAAAGTTTGGATTATAAACTGAACCGAACTGAGAAAATAAATAGTCTAGGCCATCCAGACTTATTAAACACTCTATACATAGGGGGTCTGGTTGATCGAAAATAAAAACGAAAGTGTTGGCTACATTAAAATTTTGGAATTATCAAGTAAACGAAGTACGGTTACATAAAAATTAGGAATTTTTCAAACATTTCCGAAACGAAAAACAGGTAAATTAAAAATGAGGAATTTGGAACAAAAATAAACTGAAACGCACGGTTATTTTTTTTTTTATCAGTTCGGTTTACATGTAAAAACCGATACCGTGCGGTTAAACCGAAAAACCACACATCACTTATTCTTACCTAATGCAGCTTTAAGTAATTTCTTTCAAATGAAGGAAATATAATACAAATGTAGATGATAAAATGATAATCCTACCTGCACAACTGTTAAAATCTTTCTTATCTTTCGTTTAACACATCAGCATATTGTACACATTAAGGACTAAGATACATCAATTCTAACTAATTGCACTCATTTTAAGAGAGTAATTTATTACTACAAAATTAGATCTTGAAATTTTATTTCAGTTCAAGGCAGCACATAATTAAAAAAGTTTTTTATTATTTATCTATTTATCACCCTACCCATGTCAAAATTACTGCAAAATCCTTCATCCTCTCTTCATAACATAATCTGAAACTGTATTTAACAAAATCTAAGCTTTAAATTACAGAATTAGCAAGTCATGACTATATCCTGAGTATTCTTCAAAATAATACTTGAACTACACCCAATCTACTTTATAAACATCTGGAATAAGACTTATTTCTTTTTCTGTGAAATGAATAAATTGTTACTAAAACATAATAATTTCTATTGAATCATTAAAAATGTCTTTTATTCCAAAATCCATGTTCTCGAAAACACCACACACAATTGTTAGTGAACAATACTTGGATATACTGTCACTTTCCTGGCTGTATAATTATTAGCACTCAAAATGGTTGACTTAGAATAGCACCAATATGTTTCTTTTGATTGAGTTTATGAAAGCTGACACGGAACACTCTACGAATCCTGATAAAAGCATAATCATCATATACTGCTCTAGCTGTGTTAGATAAATCAAATGGTTCTGAAATACAAGAAAGACATATTACAGTTTTCACAAAGCTGAGTTTGCTTACTCCTCTAAAGCAACAAGTTTTATCATGTGAGGAGTTCAAATAGTTAATAAATATTTATAATAGTCCAGCAGAACTATGGCTGAACCCGGAAATTGTATACAAAGTTTTTTTTATTATTGATTTTAGTAGCCTAGGGTGTCCTCTTTCAAAGTCTGTCGGGTGAACTTGGTCACCCTTGAGCGTTTTGAGAAATTCAAGATGGCGTCCAAAACGGCCGCCATTTAAAATAATCCCCTCTAATATTTTGTCTAGGATGATAATTTTGGTGTCTACCCATTTGTTTTTGGGGCCAAGGAATACACTGAAATCATTCATTATGTTATGGGGTGATTACAGATTAGATGATAGTAAAATTAACCAACGGCTGCCAGGCAGGATAAGCCCACATTTTGCAAGAGATGGATAGACACTGTAACCTGGGTATCATTTATCTAGCACTAATTTCTTTCACATTCATTTAATATCAAATATACCTTTAAAAACTCATAAAAATCATTTAAAATCACAAAAAATCATCTAATTTGTACTTGTGTCTATTTTAAAGCTGACTGATTAATTTTGATAATGAGTGTCCAATTTACAGGTGTTTAATTTCCTGACTACTGTTCAAAAATTAATCATTATACATCATTAATCAATTTGGTTGTTTATTTTTTAACAGTGATCAAGAAATTAAACACTTGTAAATTGGGTAGTCTGGTGGCTGAAGGGGGGGAATCGCCACCCGAGCTGTGAATTTATCAGACCAAGTTTTTCTAGACCAGTTTTTTGCATAGATTCCGAATCTGGGTGGTGATCAGTACAATTGGTCAGATTTTCATGTAGTGTAGGCCATCGGAAGTATAAAAAAACGAAACGAAATATACATCTGTATTTTAATCAGATCGCTTTTTCGTTCAGTACCAATTTCGTCAGAAGTTTCAAAATCAATGTTCATAATATTAGCAGGATAGATATCTTCTGGATGGCTAATCAGCAGCTCGCATATATCCTTTGGATATGCTTCAGATACCCATTCACATTGTAAATCTTAATTCCAGCTTTGTACCGCAGGGTCATCTTGTTTGATCATATTGTTGTGTTTAATATGCAGCAAAAGACTATACTCAGGCAAGATGGTAATAAAGAAAGAAGGGTTTGTTATTTTTCATCACAATTTAAATTGCTCCTGAAAATTTTCCTGCTAGTTTCATCTGCTGATGTAAGTCGCCTTTCGCTCTACATGGTACAAACATTTTTTCTAAACCAGCAATTATGTCATCAGACACATCATCTGTCTGTCTCAGCTCTTTAAAAATTGTTAGAACTTTGGAAAAAGAAAGACAGATGGTCATTACCACTGAAAGCATGTACGCCGAGATATTCTCGACACTTTCAATACTAATCTTGATTGGATCAAAATTTTTTTTATCAAGATTAGTATTGAAAGTGTCGAGAATATCCTAGAACTGACAACAAACCACGATGACATCAAAATAGCTTATAATTTGATACATTGAATAGGTACTGAACAAAAAAGCTAAACAAAAAAGCTAACGAGAAACTACTTTTAAACTTTTAAGGTCAATTTTAAACCAAATGATTTCTGTACACAATAAAAACACATGTTGCCCCCTCCGCCACGGGCACCCCTCCCTGCCCCCCCCCCCACACATAACAGGAATCTTAGTTAAAGATGTTTCATCAAGCTCTAAGAAAATCATCATTTAAATCGACGTAACCTCATTTCCTGCCAATTTTATCCCCCCCCCCCCCCACGCAAATCTGCAACCACCCACCCCACCAGAGGTCGCAGTCACGCAAAAATCCGCGTATTTCACGCATTTTTTCAAAATAAACGCACTTATTGACGGACGCTGCGTAATTTACACGCAGAAAATTTCCCCGACGTGAGAATAATTAGATTAGAATATGTCGTAGTTTATACAATTTCTGTGCTTCATCCGGCATTTACACACCTCTACTGTACGTAGTCTCCGTAGTTTTTTATATTTCCTCTTATTTCATTCATAAGTTCATGGCAGTAAGCCTATACGTAGCTATACTATTAGAAGCAATAAAGCGCATTTCATACAAGACTTGGGATTGGCTAGAACAAGACATACTGTTTACATTCATTCAATCAAATGTTGGCTTTCATAGCGATAGTTTTCTCTTTACGTCGTGTTGAAGTGAAAGATTGAAATGTCAATCGTAGACATGCCGTTAACCTCCAGTTGTCATTAGACTAAATACAGTAGGCATATCAATAAAATAAGGACGCTTAAAATAGGGTTGTTCACAAAACGACTTTACATGCTTCTATATTGAGTATTTTGAGAGGCTCTTCACGCAGATGTAGAGGGCAAAAACGAAAATTTTTGGAATGTCTGCGTATTTTTAAGCAACTCGAAATTGATCCACTGCGACCTCTGCACCCCACCTCGCCACAAATCAAAACAGCTGTCCAGTGGCATCATAAACACTTATTTCGAGATAGGCAGTCCCAGAAATGTTTGTTTTATTAATATATAAAATGGTCATCATTTATGTCAACATAATCACATTTTCCCCCAATTGTAGACATTGGACCCCCCATATCTCAAAAACGCCCCCTCAAACGCCTGATCACCACCCAGATTCGGAATCTACGCAAAAAATCGTCTAGAAAAACTTGGTCTCATAAATTCACAGCTTGGGTGGCTTTCCCCCCCCCCCCCCTTCAGCCACCGGACTAGGGCGTATAAAAAGCTCATCACCGAGCTATTGTGTGGTGTTCACTGGAAGATTGTAATCCGTTGGAACTTGATCCGGAACTGTATTGCTGGGTAAAAGATACTAAATTGAGAGAGAGAGAGAAATGGGGTTTAACGTCCACTCGACACAAACTAAGTCATTTCGGGACTAACATATGGTTCAATTTTATTTCCATAATTCGTTTGCATGTAGGGGTCTTTAGCAGTGGGAGGAAACCGGAGGATCCGGAGAAAACACACGAGGTTGGAAAGGCGACCCTACTCCTTGTCACGTACAACCGGGGAATCGAAACCACGCCAGTTGACTCAATAAAAGAGAGAGAGAGAAATGGGGTTTAACGTCCACTCGACACAAACTAGGTCATTTCGGGACTAACCTATGGTTTAATTTTATTTACATAATTTGCTTGCGCGTAGGGGTCTTTAGCAGTGGGAATAAACCGGAGGACCCGGAGAAAACCCACGAGGTTGGACAGGCGACCCTACTCCTTGCCACGTACAACCGGGGATTCGAAACCACGCCAGTCGACTCAATGACAGACTTTATGATACAGCGCGCGCACGCTAACCATTCAGCCATCCAACCCCCTGACTCAATAAAAGACTTTATGATATAGCACGCACGTGCTAACCATTCAGCCATCCAACCCCCCACTAAATTGAGAACATTACAAAAGTCGATTTACAATGAATTGACAATTGTCCGTACATTCCCTTGTTTTTATTCATGGTAATGCACTGACTTTTTCTCATATTGACAATCAATATTTTTATTTTCAATTGTCAGATATAAATATGCTAGTCAAGTCGTCCACACGAAAAATCTGGTTAAGTCATCCACGCTGCATTGGTTGACTCGTCCATGGGACTTAGTTTAATTTCAGGATGTAGAATAAGTTGTCCACACGACATTGTGTAATGTTAGGGACGCAGAAATATTCATAGTCAGTATAATATGAGTGTTTGATATGAGTATAATTTTCTTTACGCCAAGTGGCAGACTCGCCAATCTAGAGCGGTCGCATTTATAAATAACAAACAACAAAATAAATCACTTTATTCAATAACAATTTCATTAATAAATAACGTCACTACATAGCCACTAAACAACTCACCTCTATAGTCCCGGTACACTTTTCTTCCCCAGTTCATATAATTCCCATTTTATAAATATTTTATCATGAATAGTGTCCGTCTTCCTTTACATACGCTTTAGCTTATTTTCCGAACACACCAATTCTCGGCACCAATTTCACTAAAATTTCATCGCCTACAATCGAGCGATCCTCAATGCAAAACTTTCAACTAGTAATATAGTCCCTTTCCTGCAGGTTAGTTTCACCATAACAGAATTGCCCTGTGATATAACAGATCAAAGAATAAACTGCACGTAGTCACTTTTTCGACACATGTTATCTTCAGTTGTTCAGACTACCTGGCACCTCAAAAAACCCAAGTTAAAAGAAAGCATGCAGTGTCCACCTTACAACAGGTTCAATTCATTTATGATTTATTTTATAATTTATTACACAGTTTTGACCAAAATTAATTATAATGCCAAAATAATATCAATCCAATTGTATTTTGGCGAGAGATTAAGTTGTCAATATGTAATTGTAAAATACCTTTTATTTATCCATCTAATAATTTATATTCAGATTTCATATCAAGTCAATTAAATGTTGTCTAAACATTAAAATCATAACGCCAATTAACAAACAGTGGCGGTGCCGGGGGGGGGGGGGGGGCAATTAATCTGGTCTGCCCTCTGTTTGCCCCCCCAATAATTTTAGAAAATAAAAAAAAGTATTTGCGATACGTTTCGGTAATCAATACCTTCTACGGAGAATAAATCCCACATCCCCACTCAGTCATAAACTTGCATGTTGTAGAGCATTTCCAACAGTCTATTTTTCAAAATTTTCTTGGCGAGGTCCCCAATGGACTCGCTACTTTGGCGCTCACAAGGGGAATTCGTTGAGGTTCACAAGTCCGTTCGTTTGTCATTTTGTTCTCTAGTCGGATAAACTAGTGATCAGGTGACGAACGGTATCTGGGCAGATCTATTTATCTCGACGATCGGTGCCTGACAGAATACTGTAAGACAGCATTTCCGGCAGTCTATTTTTCAAAATTTTCTGGGGGAGGACTCCCTACTTTGACGCTCGTGAGTGGGCTTCGTTGTGATTCACAAGTCCGTTCGTTTGACACTT